GTGCTGCTTAGCCTGGCCTGATGCCTTTGTTCCCCTTGTCCACTTCTCCTGGAATGACCTCTCCGCCCTCCCCCTGCCTTCCCCGATTCTGCCTCTACAATCCTCTTTCCTTCCAGCTCTGGTGGGGGATTTCTCTATTCCTGAGGCCCAGGTTGATCTCTCCTGGCCTCCTCTGAACCCCCAGAGGACCTGGAGTCTACCCTAAAACAATTGGGGGCCCATTTGTATCTATAAGTTTCATGCTTTCTGAACCCAAGATGGGGGGCCTTGGCCCCAGTAAAGTTCATATTTGGGAACACTGAAGCATGATATTTGGGACTGGGATCGCCTGGGAAGACGTGGGCCACAGGCCTCCATCGTTACATACCATCTCATTGCAGGGGGCTGAGTTAGCCAGGATTCCTTTTGTTTTGTTTCTTTTGCTAGCTGGTAAGCTCTGAGAGAGAGAGAGAGATCATGACTTCGCCAAATAAGTATTATTAAAAAAACTCGTGTGAGTGTATGTGTGTTTATGTATGTGTGTATGTTTAGGGGAGTATGTAGTTTTGATCTATGGTTGGGAATCTGCATATGTAAAGGGCTGACTTCAGTTACATGTAGATTTTCAACTCTGCTTGTGGTTGGCACCCCTAAGCCTTGCCTTGTTCAAGTGTTGCCTGTACTTCAAAATCCTATTCTGGTTCCTGGAAGGCCAAGCAAAGTTCAGTCTAGAAATGAAGAAACTGATTTCGATTTCACCAAGGTTACAGAGAAGCCAAGCATTTCCCATAGGGGCCACTGAGTTCAAAGGAATGTTTTGAAAAAATGGGGCTGATTCCCCATTTTTGAAAGTACCCCGAAGGAAGGGACAAGGAAGAGGCTGGAGACCTGTGAGGTGGCAGTGGGAGGGGCCGTGTGTGGGGAGGCCTCTGTACTGGTTGATAAATTGAGAATTGATGTCATGGGACGAGCACATGTGTTGGGGCTGGGACATTGGCCCCTTTCATTTACAGTGAATTTGGTCTCAGTTCCCGTGATGCTGGCCTGGGTTCTGCTCCCAGCCCTGCCACCCACTCGCTCTATGACTATAGGCTAGTCTGCTTGGCTTCCCTGGGCCTCTGTTTCCTCATTTCTAAAATGAGGATGTTGAAAAACTAAATGGTGGGGTTGGGCTACATCATTTCTAGTCTTTTTCAGCATCCTGAGTCAATCTGGGAAAATACGCCCAGTCCTGCCTGACTCAAGAATGGGAGAGACAAGTTAACCTGATCTCCCTTCCACCGGCCTCCTGGTGAAAGTTGTTTTTCACAGAAAGCAGAGGACAGGCAAGGGCAGGGCTGCGGATGGTTGAATCTTGCATGTTTTGAAGGAAATAGGCCTGTATTCTATCTCCAGTAAAACTCACATCCCCTCCTCCTGCCCCCCGATTTGAAATGCACATCAGCGACCAGGCTTCAGGAGAGGGTAAATTTTGCCCTGTGTGGATCTGAGGGAGACAGGGCTGGCCCTTCTCTACCAGGCCCTTCTCTGCCTCCTTAGCTCTGGGTCTGAGTCCCCTTCCCGGAGACACTCCTCATCGAGGCTGCCAACCAAGGCAAATGCTGGGAAGATGTCCCACCCTGCTGGGGCTTGCTTGCCTAGAGGAGCACATTTCTAGAATCAGGTCCTCCAGTGTCTGAACGATCACTGATTCTACAACAGGGGTCCTGCCTTTGCCATGGCACGTCTGGCCATGCAGGCACATACCTACTCCTAAGCCACCAGCATTTTGAAAAGTAAAATATGAAATCAGGAGCATTTAAGTCAGTCTTCACTGGATTGAGAGAAAATACAAAGAAAGCAGGTATATCTTGTGTGGGGCTCATGTCTTGGGCTCGAGTGCTTTGGAGAGGCTAAGCTCCTCTTATCCGCTGGGGACAATAGCCTGGGTGTATTCTCTCTCTCTCCAACCCCCTTTGCTAGACTTGGAAACAAGAAGCTTGGAGCTGCCTTCACCCCCAGGGGCTGGGGGACACCATCACGACCTTTGGGTGGCTAAGACCAGCGGCCTTGCCCAAGGATGCTTTGTAGACCCACGGCCCGCTCAAGTTGGGGGCCAGGCTGGTACCCGTCTGAGTCCTGAACTTGCCAATGCTCAGAGGCAACTCAGAGGCCAGGCTGAGATGTATCATTCAGAGGAGAGCTTCAGAAATGAACACGTTTTCAGAAGCCCAAACGGCAGGCAAAGGTCAGTGGGAGCTGGGCAGAGCCCAGAATACCCAATTTGAAGGTCCAGATACCAAGTTTGGGAAGAGAAGAGATGAGTAGCTGAACCAAAAGGAGGTCTAAAGGTTAAAGTAATAAAGACAAGAATGTTCTTTTTGGGAATGAGAAAGAGTCCTAGCTTAAAATATACCTCCTAGGAGGCAGAGTGTGAGAAGAGGGAAGCATGGCCAAGACTGGGCTTACGTTTCATTTCTTCCGATAACAGGGTATGACCTGTGGAAGCCACTTCATTTGACTGTTTCGACAGTGAATTGGGTGCTCACAGGATTGCTCGGCCTGAGGATCAAGTGAACTAATAAAGTAAGTGGGAGACCACACCATGTGGACCAAACTCTCAGGCAAACAAAGTGCACGATGCTGGAACGGCTGGCTCTAGGACCGATGACTGCGTAGAGACCGCTGCTGGGTCTCCCCATCCCCCCGTCCCACTGCGGAGACAGCTGTCTGCTCACAAGGTCATGATCTGGAAAGGTAGAATGTGAATTGGGGAACCCATCATGCCCATGTCCAATTTGGGGCTTTCACTGTGCTCTGTCTCAGGTTTTTATCTTTTTGTCCTTCCCCTTCTGTCTGGGAAGTCCCCTCTTGAGTCCTGCCACAGCCCAGGCTTGGCCCTCATCACAAGGTGCGGAGTGTGAACATGTGTAGACCAGCATGGCTCTCAAACTGCTTCATGTAGTTTTCCGAAAGCAGGGACTGTGAGCTCTTTCCCCGGGTCCCCCATTGGATACAGAAAGGGCCCTAGGCAGGTAGAAATACTTATGATGCACTGTGGCTTTCCAGTCTCAGGCCGTTGCCAAGTATTAATATTAGTCTTTTCTTCCTTCGCCCATCTTTCTGTCAGTTGGCCTCAGTTGTCTCACAAAGATCAGTGCCAATGTTCATGTTCTGTAAACTATTTAATAAATACTTTTCTTTACATCGGGGTAACCCAGGACAAAGCCATAGGAAACAAGAGCCACCAGCAGCGGTAGGATCAGAATACTTTAATAAGATATCAGTGTCAAAATACATTTCCTTATAAAGTTAAGCTCCCGTATAGTAATAATGTTGTCAGTAGGAATTCAACAAAATAATAATGTACATGAAATTGTTACGTTGACAGGTAAGGTTAATATTGAAGCTCGGGATATTTTTCAGAGTGTTTTAGTAAAACTACAAGGGTAAAATACCCTTAATGCTGAGGCAACACACAGGAATCAAACGCCAGCATCTGCATGTCAGTAACCCTTCAAGTTCTGTTGCCGTGTGTGGTGCTTAAATATGATTTGGGCAACACGGTGAACAGATAATTTTTCTCATAACTTAGATTTCTTTCGAAATTTAAATCGTTTTTGGCAATACATCCATCCAGGCTTACCCAATTCTTGGCCTGTTGTGCTTTGTGTGTACGTGTTTCTAGAAACTTCTTCATTGTACCCATGACAGAAAAGTTCTATGTGATTGGTATTTAAAAACAAAAAGGTATCTCCCTCTTACCCAGTGAGTTAAAGTGCTCCAAGAACACTCTATTTCCAGTGCGTCCTACCTATAAAAGTCACTGCAAGTGACAGACCTCTAGAAGGCCTGAGGCTGGGGAGGTCCCAGGGGTCTGCCCGCTGCTCGCCAGCAGGGGCGCTGCACCTTGGCCTTGCAGGGTGGGCTGAGGAAGGGCACCAGGATGGGACTGGTCAGGACCAGCCACCCCCACTTTCTGTACCCTCTAAGTCCAGCTCCATGTGCTCCAAGGTGGCAAGCTGGGAACACACGGACTGGATCATTATACCACTTCTGAATCCTTACTCTCATGAATTCCCACCTAAACCATTTCACGGTAGTTCTGGAAGTATCTAAATGTGCCACGTGAAAGCCCATTAGAATCACATAGCTCAGTGCACTTGAAGGGCTAGCAACAAAACCTTAAGAAAAGTTAAAGCACTTCCTCTTCCTTAGATTTGCCCCACCCCCACCCCCCTGCCCCATGATGTGCCATCAGACCCTCTTGGCAGCAATAATAATATATACATACATACATAATACATACAGAACATGAGAAGACAGCTTGCAGTGCTCCCACTGAATGATTCCACATCTTGGATGGTCACACCTATGGCATACCCCCAAAGCGAAAGCCAACGGAGAGGGACCTTGAGCAGTGTTAGTACAGGCCCGCGGGAGTACTGTACGATTCTGCAGTGTCAGCGACACCAGGAAAAAGAAAATCAACAGCTTCAAAAAGACCTTAAAGTGATTTTGTGAACAGGATTCCACTTCTGTTTCTAAGTTTTTAGATATTACAAAGTACCCATATATATGATAAACGCTTAACCCAGATATAAATTTTTAAAAAACTCAGTTATGGTTTTGAATAATAATAATAAAAATCTACCAAATGTGGGGGAAAACACCAAACAGTTTAGGAAAAGCCACACTGTGCAACTTTCACAGATAACAACATACACTGGAGTTCACCCTTCACATTTCTTTTTTACCCCCCAAAAGTCATCGGAATTAGAGCAAAGAGTTGGCTTAAAAAAAAAAATGACTGAAATTTACAATACGGTGATTAGTTTTAAAAAAGAAAAGAGAAGGGCTGTGAGAGGGAATGGCCACAAATCAAGCATGGAAAGCAAAATTGTTTCTCTTTGGCAATGACACAATCTTTTTAGTTAAATGA